CAAATTTGTCACATAATAAAATTTGACAGTATGAACTTGTATACTATTTCAATATTATATACGGCGTAAACAGAGTCTAGGCATTTGATTGGTTAAAAAGTGGGTAATAACTTCAAACATCACACTATAATGTAGGTTGAATGATAGTTCATAAATTCCTGGGGAAAAAGTATCATCACCTTAAATAATAGTCTTTTTTGTCCTGTCGCGATTGTAATCTCCCACTCCTCACTTATAACGTTGCTATGTGATTTATGACACGCACGGCCGGTAAGGGAATTGCGACATCTAGGACGCTGAAAGAGACTGGCCATTTGACCGCCTAGTAATAATAATAATAATAATAGTGTAGTTTTATATAGCGCACATATCCATCTAATGTAAGATGCTCAGAGCGCTTGATATGTGGACTAGGAACTCGATCAATGACTTTCTTTGCCCCTAAGGGTCCCTTCGTGTCTGTGCTACCCGGTAACCCGGTACCAGCAACTCTCGTCGTCCACCACAGGGGCTGTCTGTTCCAGTACACCGGGGTATCCCCCTACTCGTCTCGAAGGATGTACTGGGTTCTTTATAGTGCACACGAGCCATTGCATACACTGGGCCTATGGTTTATAGTCCTTATCCGAGAAGACTTGTTCTACCACCAGAACCATAGGCGAGCGTGCCGTTCGAACCAGCGCCGATATTATGGCTATAGCTTGCGGCGCCCCTGCTAACCGCTCGGCCATTCGACTCACCTGGCCTACAAGTAAGCCTAGGCCTACTTTGTGGGTACTCTTTTTATTACTTTTTTAGGCCTCGTAGAATCTATGTATGATGAGGATTAAAATAAATATTGACTGCTCTAGATTCAAGGAATGGTGAAATCTGTAACTCCTCATTGATGTGGAGACCATAGCCTACTATCTTCCCTCAGGGATTCAGCCCTCCGGAAGATAGTAGACTACGGTCTCCACATCTCCTCGGGGCAATAGATTTCACCATTCCCCTCATGAGCAGTCAATATTTGTATATTACTGTATAACACCATATAAAATTCAAATTAATTAATATACAACTAAAGGGTTTACCTTGCTATTATTATTACAAGGTGTTTTACTCTCAAAGTAATCATTCGCTGTGCATGCTTTTCTAACGGTACAGTTACTAGACCCAGCATTTGAGTAGTGGGTGTCAGGACATGGGGTACATGCAGTTGCCTTCGGTCCAGAATAACTGTTTGCCTTGCACATCTCACACCTGAAAATGTAAATGATTGCATACATATAAAAATTTAATAATTATTAAAACTATATAGGGAGTTAATGAACTCTCGTGCATACCTCAACAGGCCGTACATATGCAGAGGCCTAGGTCCTAACATTTCTCGAAAAATCTCAATGTTTGGGGCCAGTATCTTTTGGAGCATTAGCAAACAATTACCGCAAACTGTCAAATTTCCCATCAATTTTACATAGTTAATCCAACCAACATTATTTAACACCAATTGTGCTTTACAGCAGAAACACTCCAAAAAAGCTACACGTTTTCCTTCTTTTGCACTGCGTGTTTACAACTGATACCCACTATACGTCACATGACCAACCTAGTAGAAGGCTTTCCACAGCTGAATCTCTATAGATGACAGTGGTTTTACTTTTGTTGCTCCCTGGCTTACCTTTATTTTGTATGTTTGTGAATTGCTGATTTTTTGTATCTGTAATGTTTTTATATTGTTTTTGCCAGAATGAATAAAATAAAATGAATGATAATAATAAATATGATGATGATATTGATGACGATGATGATAATAGGGATAATAATAATGACGATGATTAAGAGTGCTGAAGACAATGCCGAGGATGATGGTGATAAAAGTCATAAACATTTCAGTGTTACCCAAGCTGATCAGAAAATGAGAATGAAAGGCAAGGGAGTGTAGGTCAAGTACTCACTCAGTAGACCCTGCCTGGGCTGAGTAGGTGCCACTAGGGCAGTTAGTACACTGAGATGTGTAACTTAAGCCCATGATCTCAATAGACTTAATGCGAATTGGTGATGTTTTGGTATTGTCCTCAAAGTTCATTCCGATGGCCTTCCATGAAATTACGTTCATTCCCATGCTGAGATCGATCTAATAAAAAAAAACAAAAAAAAAAAAAAAACAAAGCATATTAACAATAATGGGTAGTGCTAGAGTATTTAGTGTAACATTTGAGTCGACTTGGAATATTTATGATGAATATGAGTAACATTATTTAGTAGAAGTAGAGTATAATAGGGAAACATTACAAAGAGGTATTTAGTTTTAGATAGGGCTATAGTATTTAGTGCCAAAATTATTTAGTAGTACTGGATAATTAATAGTGTTACATAACTCTGTGTTTATTTAATTTATAATAATTTGTCTTACAAAAGGGCCGAAGGCCTGGAGTTGTGAATAAATTTCCTATATGGGAGCAAGTTCCTGGGGTTGATGCTGAGGATGGGGGGGGGGATGCAGACGGTGCGACTGCACCCCCTAAATTATATTAAGAATAAATATTGTTATATAATTGTATTGTTGATATGTACCAGTATGATGG